TAATAAAGCTCCTTCCTCTCCCCTCCCTGCCTGCCGAAGCTCACTTGTTTTAGATAAGTGCATGAAGTCACCAAAAGGCAGATTAATTTCAAAACTTCATGGCCTTCCTTTTTCCTTTTGTTTTTTTTGAAATGTCGGTGAGGACCGAGAGCCAGACTGACAAACTCACCAAGAAAGGATAAACTGTTCACCCTGCCCAAAACAAAAATGCCTACAACTTTCCCCCCTCCCTTCCTCCCTCCTTTCCCGCCTCCATCCCCTCCCACGGTTCTCCCGGTGACGCCTCCCCTGAGCCAGCATTACCTAATTTCTACACAAACACGCAGTTCCTATAAGCATCACCTTCAAGCAGCTCTGGCTGTCTGATCACACCTCGGTTTAGGGGAGCAGAGGCGAAGAGCTACTACTGAGGGGTTCTGCAAGGTAATCAACTCGTTGAATTTTTACTTTTTGTTTGTAATGCCTAACTAGTGGTTAAGTAGATAGACCAAGAAAAAACTCCTGGCAAACTATCTTGCTGGAATTTGTCAGAGGAGAAAAGTTTCAGTACAAACTCAGAGACAGATTTAAGAACATTTTGGCTTGCTTGCTTCCTGCAGGGAAACAGAGGCAGTTTTTAAGATCAAGATCTAATGTAAACTAAAAAATCACTACTATTTCTTTTAGTCATTGGTGTAAGTTATAGGTGTTTAAACACACATGCATTCTGATTTAGTTTCAGTTCATCACATTAGACAGATCTGGCGAGCAGCAGTCCCCCGGGACCATGTTCCAGCTGTTTCACTCAGCTCCCCACTGGCTGCATGTCTTTCTCTCCAGCCATACTGCTGCAAAACATCCTGAATTCTTTGTACCTTCCTGTACGTTTTGCAGGCTCTAAATTGCCAAGATGCTTCTGATTCTTTCTCTGGTCACTGGGCTCGCCCTGTCTGCTTCCGGTGTCCTGACAGACAAGGAAACTGATCCACGCCAAGAGTCATTGCATGAGATACAGAAACAAGTGAATGACCTCTGGCAGAGTTTGCTCTATCCGGTAACACGTGGTAACGAGACTGATGGGATGGTTTATGCCACTTGTGAAATGAAGCCCAGCTCCAAAATAGATGCTGACAAGCCACAGGTGACTGGACAAGTCTTATTCAGGCAGTATTACTCATATGGAAGATTGGAAGCTATTTTTTACTTGGATGGGTTTCCACTGGATACCAATCAATCTAGCAGAGCTATACACATCCATGAGCTTGGAGACCTCAGCAATGGCTGTGATTCTACAGGAGGACACTATAACCCTTTCAGAGTGAATCACCCCCGTCACCCAGGGGATTTTGGCAACTTTCTTCCTAAGGAAGGCAAAATCAGAAAATACAAAACAAATCTCTTTGCCACGATCTTTGGCCCATATTCCATCATGGGCAGATCTGTTGTGATCCATGAGCAGGAAGATGACATGGGCAAGGGCAATAATAAGGCCAGTTTGGAAAATGGAAATGCTGGGAAACGTCTGGCTTGCTGTGTGATTGGGATATGCAACAAGAACTTGTGGGAAGAGAAACTGCCTGAGGTTACAGACAAGAAGAAGAGAGGGCTCAACAAACGTACCCAGAACCAGGCTTAAGTGAAGACTAAAAGTCCGCTACAGCCTGGGCAGCACAAGGTGACTCAGGCTGCACCGCTGATCACTAAGATATATGGCTAAAGGATTCCTGTTTCCATCTGCTTGCTCCTCTATGAAATGCATATCACTTTGTAGAGCGTCCTTTCTGTAAGCCTATCAATAAAAACAGCATCAACTCAACATTGTGGTGTGTTTTCTTGAAGACAAAAGATTCTATTTTATGCAGTTTGGGAGTTGAATGCATGTAAGTAAGAGCTCTGATGGATATGGTCGACAGACTAAAGAGTCTGTGCTGTAAGGAGCTCTTAAGGGATTCTAAAGGAAAAAAAGTTACTAAGTAAGAATTTGCCTCTCATTAGATGCTGTTGTGTATTTAGCTGCAAACCTGAAAAGAAAAAAGGTCTTTATGCTTTTAACAGTGTTGGGTGTTGTGTTGCAAGACCTTGGTAATGGACTTCCCCCAGAAATGAGGGATAGTACAGACCCTTCTGTGTTGAACTTTAGATCCATTTTGTTATTCCAGTTGTATAAGCCTCTAGTTTGTGCCTGTTTGTAACCAAGTTGTATACAAAAGTTTTAATGCTGCTTAGACAAGGACAAAGTTAGCAGATCAGAGAGAAATACTATTTTCAAAGCCAAAAAATACCAAGTGTTTTACTTCATACAAATATGTAGGAAGTAAATCAGTCAGTTTAGGTTGGGAGAAGTGACAGTGAAAAGATTTGTTGCATAATTTTCAGACTTAAAACTCTCACTCAATAAGGCTTTATTTTTTTAATGTAACACAACTCAGTAAGAATATTAAAACACCATCCCATGGCTATGAATCATCTGATACTGAGAAAAGGAACCAAGCAGGTAGAACAAGCGTATCGGGAAATGTTTTTATTAAAGATGACAAAATGTATTAATACAGTTTAACCATGTTGTGCTGTTAATCCACACAGCAACAAAAAAGAGGTTTGCAAATAAATTAAACTGCATAATTTAGAAAGCAAACTGCAAAACAGAAGCTGGTAAACAAAATGCTATCTTTTAGAAATGTAGCAGACTTTCAGCTTAATTGCAGTTAAGATTTTGAAATACATTCCTGAGCTCATAGGGATTAAAGAAATTCCAGTCTTTATTATACAAATTCCCATATGCTTAAAAATAGTCTCACTTACAAAAGAAGCAGCATTCTAAAAGAATGCTTCTTAATCTGTCATTTTCACACACTTATTTTACAAATTCAATGAACATTGTTTTTCCAATAACCACAACATGATACTTTCAAATGAAATCCTTCCCACAGATAATGCATGAATTCACTTTTAGGTGAGACAATCTCCTTAAAATCAGTTGGTGAAATGTACCTTTGCCATATCCCTGCCACAACAGTCCCTTCCCACTTTGCTTCCCCAAAGCCCAACACCAAAAAGGATTATATGTGTGGTTGTGATTTCTTCGTTTCTAAAGAACTAGAAACAGGGAACACAGGTCTAAAAAAACCCCCAAAGCAAAACAAACAAAACCATTCCCCTCAAACCTAAGGTATGTTCATTCCACAACAAAACACTAATTAAATTTACTGGGGAAAAAAACCCCCATTGTTCTAATAGCACAATGATATCAATTAAAGCAATATCCGAGGAAGTTACTGACAAGAATATTTAATTACCTAGAGCTGCAACAACATCTCACTTTTACAAGTGTCCTGGCTTTGAAGTCTTGTGTTCCTGGGAGGAGGCTAAAAACGTAGCTAAGATACACATTTGCTAGGACAGGAAGGAGAGGGGCAGTATTGCAGCAGTGACATCGCACTGAAAACGAGGTTTTCAGAGATCTAGGTATCTTACTGGAATTCAGTGATTGCAAAGATAAAAATGGCATCTAAGAGAGAGAATGGTATGAGGACAATTACCAAGATGTCCTAATTGTTGGGTTGGTACATGACTATGCTCTCACAGAAAAGACATAGTGAAAAGAGTCAACAAATGAGGCATTAAAAAGCTGTTGGTCTAGCACTGCTTCTACCTGCTCAAATTTTTACACCAAATTCTTCACTAACTAATAGCATTAACTGGCCGTTAAGGGACCAGGAGCAAAATGCTCATTCACCATCTCTGGGTCAGGAAAGACACAGGACAGGGAACGAGTGAAAGATTTCTGAGCTCAACTACGTGAAATCTTGACCTTATTTGCTTGCCTCAGTTCTGACTGATTGATATTTAGCATTGATATTGAGTATTGATATTTAGCTCTGTGAAAGATGGAAAAGAACACATCTTGAATAAAATGTTACGTAACATGACATTCAGGCACTAAAGGAAAAAATCCTGCCACATTCTCTTGGAGATTTCAGTTTCCTCAGCTATTTCTCTTCTGACTGTCACACAAATTGGTCAATAATGCAGTCAGTTTCAATTACTGGGAACAGCCCACCAGTCTTTCAAATACTTAAAACTCTTCTTGGTTTTTTTTCGGGTAATAAGGAACTTAAATGGTGATGAGGATAATGAAATAAAAACTTTTTACTGCTTCATGTCCTTAATACACCTAAATATACAGGTAGCTTTTGTTCCTAAGGGCTGCTGCTTAACATCAGTGGAATGCTGCAATGTCCCATAACCTTTAAGGAGAAAGTAAACATATTTGAGGAGCACTGGGAGTATGGCTTTATATCCTGCAGACAGACACTGAAAGGGTTACACAAATGCACCTGCTAGGGAAAACACATGAGAACAAAGACAAGCCACATTTTTCACCTTCCCGCTATCACCCCTTATATTTATATGTAATAATTTACATACAGCCTTTCTTCTGCTGAATACAAACTGTTCATGGACTCTGACACCTTGATTATGGCAACACCTGCTAGCTCATCTTCCACATACAGAAGAGTTTGTCAGTACTGCTAATATAAACTCTCCTTATTCAGTAGCTGGCAAGTGGGCTGTAAAAATTTGCAGCTGGCAGTTATTTGTCAAAGAAGTACTCAATCTGGGAGGGATTTTCCTTTTTATTAGTAGTATTTTATTAAATTTGGTTTAATTCTCTCTGATTGGTTTCAAGTTCTAGGAATGAGAAATGAACATTTACAGACAATTAGGTCCCAAGCCAGCAGAAAAATTGCCTTGACGGCTGCTGGCCCATAGAAGCTCCACAGCTGCTGAGAGTATTCCTTGTGCTACAAACAGGAGAGGAAGGACCTGCCTCCCCTTCTCCAACAGCTGCTAACTTCAACGTTAAGTATTCCCTCATTGCTGCCTTCCTAGAAGCACAGTGGCACAGCTCCAGCATCAGGATTGAGCTAGAGAATGACACAGCAGCCTCCCTTTTCCCCAGTTATTATAGGAATATTTTCCTATAGGAAAATAGGAATTATTATAGGAATATTTTATTATAGGAATATTTTCCTATGACTAAACATCTTCAAAAGAAGAAGTTTAAGAAAGTGGCAACAATGCAAATAATCCTTCTACCATACCATAGACTGTGAAATGAGGAGGAAAGGAAGAGTTATCCTTAATTCCAAATCATAGGAAAATAAAAAAAAAGACACAGATTCCTTTAGAAAGAACACAGATGGAGTTGGCTGAAATCTACCACCTGTTAACTCAGCTTGAGGGCTATTCCAGCTCCTGTAAGTTGAAGAATGCAATTCCAGTAACTGAGAGAGCCAAGTAGGTGGACAGGGCATCACTGGTTCTCCTCTTGCTGTTTTCCTTGCTTTGGAACAGCAATGCTGTTTCACTCAGTAAGACTTCTGGTTTCTCTGATGATATTTCCTTCAGAGCTTCATTAAATTGGGTTCTCAGTATCTGGTGAAATAACTCCCTTCATTTTCATGAGATGAGCTGGGAGAGGGAAGGAAAAATTTTGTACAGTTGACAAAACATAAAGGTATAAAGGTTTGTAATTAGAGAACTGTATACATGCAGGGATAGCTTTCAGAAACTTCCTGCAGAGGAACAATGATCTTATTTCAAGGATGTACTTTTACAGTCACTATACGTAAAGAGAACCAGAATGCAGTCTGAGAAAGAAGCAAAACCTTGCAGCCTTAAGATGCTTCTCAATTTATCACCCTTGAGAGACACTTCTAACCATAAAACACAGTCCAGCACCAGGACCATACATGTTACAGGAAACTAGTGATAACATGATAAATCATTATCATTGGCCTCTTTGCTACACTAATGTAAATTACATCAATCCATGTAGAAACTTCAAATCATTACAAAAACCCAACATGACTAAACCTCATCACTAATTCTTTCCCTTAGGTAATTTACAGTTTTGGTACACTACAACCAAAACTAACAGAAAGAGATCTTTTAAAAAAAATATTAACAGTTCAATGTAAAATAACCAACCCTACGGCACACTGTTTCACTGATCATATTTGCAACAGCACAGACATTGCAAAAGGATTACAGTGAGATGCTCAAGGGCCTGGATTTCGTACCTCAAGCAAAACTGTTATCCAAATATTCACAGTTTTTGGCAGCATCAGATGGTTTCTTGTTTTCAGATTCAGAGAGCTCCTCAAAGCTGTTATTTGTGTCTGCAGTTGTAACACTGAGCCCTCCATGCCTTCCAGGGTCTTCAGCAGGCACCACATCCACGGAGCTGCTATTTTGATCCCCTCTTTCATTTGGAATTTCACAGTTGCTCTCTGAGGTTTCATCATTGTCTTTCAGGGCCTCGGTTTCACCTGTTTGTTCATTCTCAGAGTTTGAGGGATCTGTGGGGTCGGATGGGTCAGGGCTGGAAAGTGGGAACTCTCCCTCTGATGAACCATTAAGCTCTGCTCCAACTACCACGTTCTGCTCCCCTGCAGAAGTGCCTGCTCTTTTCCCTTCCAGTTCCGCAACTGTCAGTTTAATTATCTGACTTCCAAGCCTGTTTATTTCTTCTTCCTCAGAAGGTAGCTGGGGCAACGAAGGATAAAAATGTTTATTTTTGTTTCTGTTATTTAAATTTGTTCCCTCTGGAGCTGGAGAATCACTTGCAACAGCACAAGTTTCATCACATTCTCCCTTCTGTTCTGCTGAAAGAGAAATGGAACAGTGAAATGCTTGAGACAGTTACAGGTATTTTTTATATATCTGATCTGAAGAGTGTCACCACTAATGCCAGACCACAGAGATGTTTACTTCAGTAAGGAATTTTTAAGAGTTCTTCCCTATCCCCTCCCAGGCCCATTTCTTAGATGATAAGCAATCAGCACTAAGTTTCTTGCTGGATCTGGCCCTGTTTTGGAGCCTGTCTTTCCCCAACACCAACAAGTCTAGGAGTCAGTCAATACCATACTGTAGAACAGCAGGGTCAGGCAAATTTTTTCAAAGGAATATCAACTCCAAGGAAGGCACTTAGCTATGGTAATTTTTGGCACAGCTTACAATTAATCCCCACATCGCTACCACTTTCAGGGGTTAACACAAGCTTCATTTATTTGAAGCTTTTCACAGGCTTTCATCCAATAATGAAGTTTTGTTATTGGTCCTGCAATGTTTCTCCTAACATAAAAGATTATTTTGATTAGGGTAACAGCATGAAACAAAGCAGCAGTGGAAGAATTTAAAATATATCGTTATACCAAAAGGCAAACACTGAACAAAATGTCAGAATAGAGAAAACAGCAATGTGTAAACAAACAACTTTGTGAAAGAGGGAGAATTTGTCCTCATACCATTAGACAACAAAAGGCCTCATTGAAAATAAGCTTGCAAAGTGAAGTAAGAAAAATTAGGAAAGGCCAGAAGTATGGCTTCATTGACAGCTTAAAATGACTCCTGTCATGCAGATGCATTACATTTTAGTATGTAAGCAATTACTCTATTTTTCTCACAGGGATCCTGCCTCATGCAGGGCACAGGACAGCCCAGCTGCAGGGAGGACCAGCCTACTGTCTCTATCAGACCTGTCTCATTTATAATTTGGGAGCTACTGAGTGAGTGAGACAAGGGTTGGCATGAAGGGAACAGACACTCTTACAACCATTAAGGAAGCTAGGGATGCAGTGCTGAAGACCTGGAATTTAAGTCTGTGGGAAAGGCAGGGATAAATTAACTTTCAAAAGGTGATCACCCACTGGATCTAATCCTCATTATCTGAGCAGTCAGCTGGAAACCTAGGAGCTTGATGTGCAGGACTGCTCTGCTCATGTTGTATATCAAACTGCTCAAATAAGAGCCAAAATGTATGTACCTTAAACTGGCACTTGAAATTAGCAGGGACTCTACCTTATTCTTTGCATGCCTCAGTTTCCTCCCTCTTACAGTAGGATAACACCAACCTATCACCTTGCTGCAATTTGCTGATGATAAGTTGTTTCTAAGCGCTAAATCACCAGAGAAAAGTTCATAGAAAAATAGTACTGTTTTCTTCAGGAATGCTTGAAATAGCGCCCAGGGACAATGCATTCAACAATGGAGCAGAAAAAAACCCTGAGTAGCTGTTCATTAGCAGCTATGATACTCAAGTACAATCTACCCCACAACACTGGGCATCAGAAAAAGTGAGATTTGGTGACAAATACAGTGTTTAATTTATATGACTGTACTATGTCATTATGGAATTTCACACAGGAAATACACAGTATATCCTACAGACATCCACCATCTAGATTAACTGAAACAATGATAACAAGTACAGACTAAAGGAGGCTTTGATGAGACCAGGGTAAGCGGATAGATTGGATAAAAAAAGCCTGCAAAAGCCCTCTTGATTATCTGCAGATCTAGCTAGGGCAACACTTAATGCATTATAAGAAGTTCTGATAAAGATAGTATGTTTGTTCAAAAGCTAGAAACATTCCTTGGATCAAACAGACACAAAATATAAGTGGTACTGTTTAAAAGATTGCATCTGACCAATGTGACTTCAGGTCTAACACTTACAGATACAAAAGAATTTCACTGCTATTCTGATTATCAACTGTTTTCACTCAACTGATCATTCAATAATAGGAAAATAAAAGTAGTTTTGTTTTTATTTCAGTAATACTTTAAACCAAGAACGTACTTGCTTGGTAAATGAAGGCAGATAAACGCATTCCTATGTTCTTCCCAGCTGCCAAGCTGCCCCAGATTTTGAAGGTACACGGTATAGATGAAAAATTGCAATATGCCCCAGCTCTTAAAACTCAACAGCAGCCATTCTCTATGCAGTGGTACAAAAGGCACCAGTGCATCACTCCCATATAGATGCTGAATGCAGAAGAGCTGTGTGACTCCAAGCACAAGGACATGCCCTACAGCTGAAAAAACACTGCTTCCTTTCCAGGTTTTTAAGGGAAGATAGCAACCCCAAACATCCTTCAGAAAAAGCATCTGGAGTAGCAGAACAGGTTACTGTTGCTCCACCTACTGCTTGAAGCTATGGCTTTTCCTGCGTGGCTGGTAGTATGTATGTGCTCATCTATGTCACAGAAAGGTTGGCCCAGTTTAATTATCACAGAAGCAAGTTTTGTCTGAGTTCTCACTGCAGGTTCTTAGTTACACTGGGACACAGGCAAGGAAAAAACCAAGCTGTTTGGGCAGGCAGAACAGTAATTAACCTACTCCAGTTTTATGACAGAATTTCTGTGATCGGCCTTGGTTCTTGTAATGCTCAAGAGAGGGAGAGGAGGAAAGAGGGTGACGACCTACTGGAAGCTGATTCTTCCTGTGACTGCCACAGGTTTAATCCTTACCTGCCTTTTCCTCTCTAAGGCTGCTTTCTTCTGCTCTTCTCTTCCCCTCCCTATCTCTCAGGTCCTGCTCTATATCCCTTTGTTTATCCAGTCCCTACACTCACTCTGCCCATTTCTCATCCACCTTTCTATCTTTCTATCACATCTTGCTTTCACTGCCTGTTCCTCACTCCTGTGCTCTGACCTCTGCTCAGAAAGATGCAGGTTCCCCCTCACTCAGACTTTCTGTCAATCCCCATGTACTCTAGTCCTTCAATCACTCGAGAGTCCTGATCTCAGTCTTTCCTCTCTTCCAGGTTTTGTTCCCTCTAAGTTTGTATTGTCTTGAAGGAACTCTGCATACAGAGTTTTACCAGCACTGGTAGCACAAAGAAAGCTCAACAGAATCATTGGTTTGTTTTTCATTGTTTTTAGCAGATGAGATTTGAAAGTGAATCATTTAGAATGGGGTGAAAACTGCAACCTTTTTTCTCAGGGCGGAAACCTTTTCCCCACATTTCAAATTCCTTTCAATTATAGATACACTAAATTCTTGCATGTTTAAAAAAAACCCCAAACTCCAAACAAACGAAAGACAAAAAAGCCCACCAAAACTATATGGTCATCAGTATTTAACACCAAAAAAAGTCATTTGGCTGTCATAAAAAAAAAGTCAGCTGAAGTAGAAAACACAGCATGGAAAGCTTCAGCACAGAGGTTTGACAGTGTTACAAAGCAACAGCAACAGGGTCTGATGAGATGTGACAGGCAGATCAGACTGCCTGTCTGATCAGCCTGTAATCACAACTGTAGTACCAGCCTCACCTAGGACAAATACCTAAAGGAAAGAGCCTAATGCCACCAAGTAAATACTTTCAGTAACTGCAGATTTAATTAAAAATCAACAATTAAGTAGGCAAAAAAAAATATTTATGAGTTATTATTACTCACCAGAGAGCTATTCACTATAGTTTCAATTCTTATTTTTAGCAAAAATATCAGCTGATCAAAATCATAAAAAAAGATCAGTCTGGCTGTCAAGTTTTATCAGATGATGACATGGATTATAAAGTCAAAATTAAGCCACAATCCATTTAGTTTCAGGACTAACAAATAAATTGTTTATGATACTTCATGGTTAGCTGAGAAAGATCTGGGCATACCAAAATGTTATGCTCATTAAAGAGCTTATCCAAACGCCAATAAGCAAGCATAACAATCCATCTCCTATCCATAATGAAAAACTAAGGGGGGAAAAAAAAAATCAAGGTTATCAGCAAAACACTATCTTCTGCTACTGTAAATTAAAGTTAAGCTTGATTTTGGAGCGATGTTAAAGCTTGCCATTGGAGAAGGATTTTTAACAAAACACATGCAAGACTATAAAAAAGCAGTCAGCTGCTCCAGGAAAATGAGTTGGGTATTTCAATTTACCAGGCACAATCAGGAACCCATTCATCTAGATATCACCTATAATGCAGGAAAGCGCTAAGCCAGTTCCACAGACTGCTTCCTACACTGCATTTTAACTGAAGGAAAAAGCGCAGGAATCAGTTAACTGTAACACAGATGGCATGAATAACTTCTCACAGTATCAGGTTACCTGGCTGGAAAATTCTTTGAGGTGTAGGGCCTGATCCCTAGTCCTGTGCAATCTATTCAACAGTAATTTTTCAATTGTGTCTTTGCTATTTGTACTGGGACCACCTGGCTGTTTTACTTTTGGATGATTTATTCAATCTCTGTGACCACTGAAAATTTGCCTTCTGCTATCCCAGCATGAAAATTTACTACGTTTTATTTGGAAAGAAATGAGTGCTCAGATTTCATCATGTTCCTTACGTTCCAGGTGCTCACCTCGTACTTCAGCTTTCTGTGGCTTATCAGCAAAAGACAATGGTGACCTGGAGCGCTGCAGCACAGGCAAGGTTGGGTCACTGAATGTTATCGTATCCTTTCCACCTGGAACAATCTCAGTGTTAGAACAAATAATCCACCAATTACATCCATTGTGCACTAATGATATCCAAACATATCCTACAATTTTTTAGCAATGTTACAGAAAAGTACAGAACAGGAGAAGCATCTCAAATGATCCTTTTTAGAGCATGGAAAAAACCCTCTGTACTGGATCTGGAACATACAAGTCAAATGCAGAAAAGGTGTATGTTTTTACCTGCAGTACTGAGTAAAGGCCAGATTTTGAAAGACCAGGTGCTGTATGCAGCAAATGCTATTAGCAATTAGCATTCCATTACAAATATTAATAATCAGATCATACCAAAAGTTTTATAAAGAATAATGGATCATTTGCATGCTATTACCAGCAGGTGTTCAGCACTGACTCTTTTCTCTGTATTACTCTGCATCATGTGATACAAGAAGGTTCATAATTATGTTGTTTTACATTTCAGGGTTACATATTATTCTACAATACTCCCATAATAAATACTAAAAGCTTAGCATAACTAAGAACTGAGGGAGCAAACAAGTACACATTGCTGGGGAACAGGAGAGATTTTAATCTGAAAATGACAAAAACATTTCTGAGCATTTTCGTTTTAAACCAAATAGAAAAGGGCAATTTTCCAGCTCTTTTGCAGACAAAATAATGCAAGAAACTCTTCATCTGAGGACTCTGCTGTAGATGCCTAGTCTTTACATGTTCTAGCAATACAAACAGCAACACCTGCAGATCCTTTAGGAAGTACTACACTATCTAGGATGGTCATGTTTTTAGCGACTGACACTACCTTAAACCTAGAGAGGAAACAGCAGGAAATGTGCAAGATCAGCTAAGTGTGGTGTTTGCCTGGCCTCCAGAACAACTGCCAACCCATAAGTAATGGCTGGGGAGGCAGCAATTTACTGCCCTATTTATCTCCATGAGAACGGACATTTATGTAACAACCACTTCTCCCCTCTAAATCTGTTTGCACCTTTCACCTTAATGCAACATCCTAAATCTAATCACCCATCCAAGACAAAGACTTTCAAAAGAGCACCAGGGCAGAAGATACTTGGAATAAATCCAGCTCTGAGAAAGTTCTGGTAACTATTGGGGAATAATAAAAGTGAAGCTGTTCCCATGGAGTCTAACGGGATGACCCCAATCCCTAACTCCTTTTGAAGGCACTGGCTGCAAATACCTTGATCCTGAAGGTATTAATGATGTTTTTATACCGTTATCCTTATGTTGGGCAATACACTGCAGCAATATGAATGCAATTAATGCTTTTGAAACATGGATCTTGTCAAGCTTTGATCCCTGACGTATGCACCAGAATTCTGCCTTTGCCACAGTCAGTAATAAAAAACAATATTAACTAGCAGTAAAGAGGAGGAACCCTCCTCAGTGTAAGGAAAAATTGTTTAAAAACAAAAAAAAAAAGGCAAACTAAATCCGATGGCTATTTCAAAATGCAAAAGCCCCTAGATGAATGTACTTTCCTGTAACAGTGAAGGAATTTTGTACTGGAAGAAATAAATCATACAGGGAAGAACTAGTGAAAACACCCAACAGATAGTCACACCAGTCAAAAGCAGCCACATATCCAGAAAGATACAAAAGAATCCAACAGAGGAAAAAAGATGATGAATAAAAATATTGAGGGGAGGTTTTAATAGGAAAGTAGAAAGCAGAGTATTTTTTTTAATTTAATAAAAAAAGTAAAGCCTGAGCTGAAGTTCCTGAAGATTGCAAGACAAGCTTCAAAAAAGATATTTCTTGACTTCCAGCCAGCATTTACACAGTAAACACATTTACTTTCACAGTTTTCTCTGAAAACCAATCTGGTTACAGAAAATAAAGCTAAGCTCAGTATCCACACATCTTAACAATAGATGTGGCTCAAAGAGTCTGATGCATATTTATTTATTAACAGCGACTCATATCCATTCATGAAGGAGGGACATGGGGTACTGCTACACTACATTCTGAGAATCATGATCTGAAGTTGGATTACACACAAGGAATTTCAACTATCTGCTCTGTAAACTCAATTTCATAACCTTCATGTTCCTCTAATGAATTTTTCAAGAACTTTAGTGAAAAGTATACTGATTTCAAAACACACAGAAGTTTTCAGTAGTAGTACATTTTTCATTTTCTTCTCCAGGGTTGGGTATCCTCTTATAGCCTCTGCTGCACCCTCTGTAAGTGGCTGCAGCCACAGCAGCTGCTGAGCCCATTAACTCCCCCTTGCCCCTGCTCGGCGCCGATTACTGCAGAGCAAGAGGCAGCCCTGAAACTCTCTTATCATCCCACACAGAAAAATAATGAGTCATGGATGGTTCTTTTCTAAGAATTTTTCCAGTGGAAACCTGGAATTTTCTGGAAATGATATATTTAAAAAAATTACAGTATAACTTATCTGAATATCTAGTGACATCAAATTGTGAGAGGAATAAGGTGGTGTTTACTATATACTATTACTGAATACATTTAACATATTATATGTGCATATCTGAACCACAATGTACCCAAGACAAAGCAAAGAATTAAATGTTTCTGTGAACATCTCATTCTCTGCTCCCTTCTCAAGGAAAGTAGGATCATAAAAAGATAATCAAAGCCAAATCTATGCCCAAGCTTGCTTTCTTTTCAGCAATGAAAACAAACCTCATAAGAGATTCATTTAATTAAAGCCCGTTTTCCAAGCAGGGGAATCTAAAGTCTGTGGTAGGCAGAACTTCTACAGAAAATGAAATACGATACTGGTTTCACCTTTTCAAAAATTAAATATGCGCTTCCTCTTGATTTAGTTTCCCCATAGTTCATTCATACATTTCTCAAAAAGCAGATGACAAATATGTCACCTAACAAAAAACCAGAAGCCTTCAAAATCTTTCTTCAATAGGATTGAGTATATTAACACCATTTGGAAGATATTATTATCATGGTGACAGTGGATGTTATAAATGTTATATGAACAGTGATGTCCAAGTAGGAACATTAACTTCAGATTAAAAACCTGAAATTTATGATGTGCATTTCTTTCAGTGCTAGAATGAACATCAGCTTTTATCTGCATTTTTTTTCAAAGATGAAAACTTCCAATCACAACCAAATAATATTTTTTCGCTCTGGATTTAAGACTAACTAGAAGAGATACTCCCCATGTTCTGCTCCTCACCCAAACCAACATTCAGCCGCAAAATCCGCTGTGGTATTCCCACGCTATTTGTTACGCACTGCTGTTTTACAGAGCAGAAGCTTTACACGCTCTGAAAAGAAAACTGGTGACCCACCAGGTGTTGCAATGCTCTTTCTGACCACCTCTGGATTAGTGTGCACTTGGAAATAAAAGTGCACTTCTGATTTAAAAGGCAAGCAACAAATCAACAAACCTTGGGCCTCAACAGAACTTGCAATCCAGTGTAAAATTCCTTTAGAACTTTTAAGATCATCCTCTCTTACTATTTTCCTTAATGTAAATGAATTGTCATGTGGAGGAGCCTCTATTTCTCCTGTGGTCATCTAACTCATTTGACTGAACATCTTAATCTGCTGGATAGAAAAATGTTCAGATAACATTTCCATTTCCATTTATTTACATGCAGCAACAATATTTAACGTACTGCTAAAATCAGTCACTAAAAATATACGTTAAGCAGAACCTACTCCCAAATCCCACTGAGACATTGTAGCTCAGGCCTTCAGGCAGCAAAAGAAAGGAAGGAAAAAGACAGTTGTTATTATATAGACATTAATTTCTTTTCTTACCTACACAGATCAACAGTGGTGCAAGAAGTTTCCACTTCCATTTTTTAAAATACATTTTGCAAAGATTAGAAATGCTGCATTTATTAGAGTAAAAATTTCATGGAACACTATTTTTGAAAAACAAAACAAAACAAACAAACCCCTATGGTACCTTGAACCAGTGAGTTTATAATACACATCTGTACTAATGTACAAAACTGCTTTAGCACACGGTCTTAGACAAATATTTCACTGACATCTTTTGGAGAACATGGGAGGGACAAATGCAGTAAAGCACACTATGCTTGTTAGGTGCCTAACTGAGGAGTAATCCATGGAAACAAATTTGGGACCTGTAGTTCTGGAAAGAGTCAAGAAGAGAGCCAGTTCCAGAGAGGTGATTGAGAATGCCCACAATGGGCAAGCTGAAGTGGAAACACACCACATCAGCCCAAACAGATGAACAGGGTAGGTTTGTCCCAGGGGCTTTTCAGCTCTGTTAAATGTTTTCTTCTGGATGTAAAAGTTAGGTAGAAAAAAACACAGAGCCAAAAACCTAGAAGCCTAAACCACATTCACTCCCACCCCCAACAGCACTGATAGGAAGCTGTAAAAACAACAAAGCCTAATGATGCAAACACCAACAATGGAGTAGCATAATTTACAGTGGTTAAAGAAGACACAATTAGGTGTAATGGGAAGAAAAGAAGCAAAAAAGTAAATGTAAATTAAATATTGCACATTTTCCTAACAATGAGGTCTATTAGGAAGCAGATTAATCTCCCATTACTTGAGTAATTCAAAACCAAATAGAATACTAAAGACACTACTGGGAATAAACCTGTTCTGGAGAGATGGACTGGAAAATTTAGGACCATTTACATTTCCACTTTCTAAGAGTTTATGATTCTACAGAAAAAAATTTTAAAAACAGTGAAAAAATCCATGGAAGTTACAAGAAGTACAAAATTAATAAATAAAATTTGTTGGAAAACATAATGGCCAACAACCTGTGTAATATTTTATACAATGTTTAAATAAAATAGTTTCCTTTTGTTTTGTCTGCAGTCTATGGAAATAATTTAATTATTCCCAACATTTAAATCCTTTTTTTCAGTATTTTTCAGGTTTTTTCCAATGCATACTGGACTTAAGAGTTAAAAAGTCTAGTGATTTTTGGCTTCAACTTAATAAATATTAGACATTTCTAATTTTGCAAATGTGCTGAAAAGAACATTTGCAAAATAACCATCATTAAAAAAAATTATAGCCAAACTTTTCTTAAACGTAAATATACCCTTGAAAACTAAATAATGCAAGCTATTGTCCTGAATTTTTACTAACCTGGAAGCCTCCACAAGCCAGCAATTTCCAAAGTTCTTAATTTCTTTTCTAGTTCTGCCACTCGATTACCTAGAATTCTTCAGAAAAAGAATAGTTGTTATACTAAGGTAACCAAAGTGCAATTGCTTACACCTTACAGCTGAATTTTTAATTTGCTACTTAACTAGCGCAGTAAATCTGTATACAGTCATCTCTTTTCACTAAAAGCAATGGACAACCTCCCCCAGAGTTAAAAATTAAATGTATTTGTCTAATCTATCCCATGGTTTAAAAAAAAAAAAAAAAGGCCTAGGATGTACTGGACTTTCAATCTTTGCCATTCAGTAAAGACAAAGAATAGCAACTCACAGTATTTCTACCTCCTTGCCTGCAAATATCACTTTATTTTCTCTATAGCTAAACCCAGAAAGTAAAAGCTACAGAGACAAAATATGGAAAATTCAAGACAACATCTAGATTGATTCTGAAGTTCCAAGACACAATTTTGGCCTAGTACTTTATTCAGAGAGGTTTCTCTATCACTAAGATTGCTCAAAATGGCAAGGAATACTTTTTCCACTATACCTTTTTTTTAGTATTGAACTGTTTTCTCCTTTACTAAAAAGCTTCAAGCCCTTTGGTGCCTCTCTTAGTTTTCACTGCATTCCATGGGTCATCTCTTCTTTTGTATCTGATTTCATACACAAATACTATTTGCAGTTAGCTCTCCTGCAGGATTTAACTTTTAGTCTTAATTCTCTCCCAAGATGAAATGAGAGATTTCTATCTTGCAAAGAAAGCTCTTTTCTCCAATGAATTTTTGAAAGTGTTTCACAGGCACAGCAAGTCTCCTGGAGTCAGAAGTCTTTAAATAAATCCCAAACAATACTCAACAGACTGAGAAACCTAGACGAGGCAGCAATTCTAAACATGACAGCACGGATTATGGACAGCAGGTTTTACTCATCAAATTACAGCAACAGGATAAGTCAGTTAAATTTGAACTGAATGCTGAGAAGCAGCATATCACAACACAGCAAGGCAACAGTATCTTCCCATGCACATCAGAGCTGTGTAATACTGCACTGGAGCTCTCCAGTGAGGGCTTTATGTGCAGACATTTGAGCGTACTGGGAATGTCATTACTGACAAGATGGCAGATTCTGGGAAGGACATGAAGAATAGCAAACCCAGCAAATATCAAAGGGGCTAGAAAAATTGATTAACAAGGACTAAGTATTTTTGAAATCTCTACTGTGAGGGCTATGCAATGACACAACAAAAGCCTATAAGTATTTTAAAGACTACAAAAATATCAAGATGAGAGACGGAACATAAAACAGAAAGAGAAAGCTTATAATAAACATCAAAGAAAGCACTGAGAGGTACAGGGGTATGTCAGCTAAAAAGCAAACAGTTCATCACATTCAAAAGCAGAGAAGACATTTGGAAGCAGTTGTGTTTATTTCCCCACTGAAACTCAGTAATCCAGTATGTTACCAAGGTTATGATGGATCTATTACTGTCTTCTCCAATAAAAAGCAAAATTATTCAAGTCTAGATTTCACTTTCAGAATGCTTTCCATCTGGTATGAAAGATTCAGCCTTAATAACTCTGTTTTCATATCCCAGAGTATGGCCTGACATCCAGCAACTGTGCTCTGCAGCACAGCGGAACAGCTGACAGAGAAAGGCACAGAGCAGCTTTCAGGGAGTTCTACCTTGCACACAGGGAGCCCATTCCCACCTTCCTGCCTAAGGCCTCACCAAGGGTCAGCTGAAGGACACTGAGTTCCTCAGGCTTAGAGGGGCAGGGAACAGAGAGATCATGCAAGACTTCTTTCACAGCATGTTGGCTCAGGCAGGGAGCTGACAAAACAACATTGATTTGGCTAATGATTGTCACCACAAATGAGTCAGAAGTTCAGCACTTCTGCCAGGAAAAGAAAAAAATCCTTATTATTTTAGTAAGTATTTCACCAGTAGTTCCAGGATAAAAAAAAGGGGAAGGATGCTACCCTCCCTGCCAGCTAGCCATACCACAGAAGGAAACTCAGCCCTCTGTATCAAGTTATTACTACTGCTCCTGTTATTTAGGCAACAAGAGCAAAGTCACTTTTCTCTTGCTTCTCTTAAATTTTGTAATTCATTTATCAGCTGTACCACACTATTTCTAAAGGTTTCGGACAAAATATATCCTGATAATACCCACTGAATTCTCAGAGGAGGTGCTGAGCTATTTTTTAACCTTTGTTGCAGGTTCTCACATAGAAGGATCATTCTGCATCTCGGAACAATGGTTGGCAAAAGTAGAGGACAATACTTAACCCCGCTCCTTTCATTCAGGAAGAGAGCAAAATACACTCAGTGATGAGTATGATTCTAGTTTGCCTCAAAAAAACATTATCTCAAGACAGGTATGAGAGAAATAAATCCTAAATGAAACTGTAAGTTCTTATAGAAACATATTTTGAAAGATAAATGTGTAAGCAATTCTGAACACAATGTGCTTTTTCGCATTTCTTTCTTTCTCCTCTGACCTCCAGATAATTTGCCACTTCCATATCTGCTGTGGGAAGACTGAGCTGGGTAGGCCTACCTGGGCAGGTATTTTTAAAGGGGCTGCATGGGCTGATAGTATCAAATTCCCTAATCTGTTTTTTTGTCTCTAGACCCAGTGGACCAGATCCTTCAACTAGAACAGAAGGATCATGTCGTGGACCCAGGTTCTCACAGCTATTTCCGCTGTCCTCTGGTCATATCTTTAATACAACAAAGGAGTTAGTCTAAGCCTCCCTCCAGGATAAAGTTTTACAGAAATCTATTGTTCTTGAAAAAGTAGCAATGCTCCCACCTGACTTTAGAAGATCCTTTCTGGTTCTCCCACGGTTTCCAACATACATGGCCATAATCTGAAGGGAGCTGTGGTGATTTACAGCACCTGAGCTCCATTCACCTCACTTTCAATTTACATCTTGCTACAGAAGACATACACCCTCATACAGATACAATCACCTAAATGCCTGTAAATAGAGTCTGTCACAATCACATATCTAGCTCTACACATCACACGGAAACATACTCAAGTTACAGACCGACACAATCCTTTTTGTAAGTTTGGTGATGTCTGAGCTTGCCCAAGTTAGAAACGTTAAAATTAGTGCAATGTGTCTGACCAGCAGAGCAGCTTCTACACTGATCTGGCTTGCATAGGTGCTGAGAATTTCAGGAACAAATTGCACTAAAAAGAATATCTAATAAATGGTTTATTGCTGGCAGAACAAAAAGGATTTTTATCCACTTGCTAGACAGGGTTTGGACTGTTTGGTTTTGCATTTATGTAACTACTTAATCTTGCAACGCACTACTGCATATAGAATTAATTTGCAACTGTCTTTTCAATCTGTTTTCTTCCCAAACAACTACTTTTTTTTCTGAAAACTGAGGCTAAAAAGATAAAGGCTGGATTTAGTCTACTTGTTCCTCGGCACAAACTCCCACAGCTCCTTTTATCATGCCACATCTTTAGAAAAGCGGCAATAATAATAGTGTGTCTTTTCCAAGAACTAGTGGCAATGGATGTTTTTAACAACAGTGTAACAGCAGAAAGTCAACTTCAACAGCGCATCCAAATTCTAATCTACATTAAAAAAATCCACAGCCTTGTTATTGCTTCAGCTAATCAGAAAACAAATCCACCATTCTGCTTGTGTAAACTCATATAGTCAACTCTCAATCTGCAAGCAACAAAAGAGGTCTAGACTTCAGAGTAGGTTAACTGTATGGAGGAAAGTAAGTTCATAGAAAGTCTCATTTACTGATAATAAAATCATCACTAGGTCAAAAAACTCCCAAATATCAAAAGCAGAACTTCTTCCCTGAATGAAACATTTACCCCAAAATCTCACATTCTTTACCCAATAAACCTCACTTTCTTCAAATCTAACTGTGTCCTCCAAACATGCTCTTTGTGAAGAGAAAGATTTCTACCTTGTGATTTATGCAAAACTTTTTGTTGTTACAATTCTCTCTAGCCCCACTTCCTTCTCAACTTCCTACTTTGAATGGAGAAATGTCTTTAACAAAAGCACCCATCCATACTAGTACCGGTTTATGAACCTGTCCATTTATCTTGTACACTGACCACACTCTCACCTCCAACCTTCTCCAATAGATGGGCAGTTTCTTGACCATTTTCAGAAGTCAGAAGTCTTTACTTTTAACTCTTTACATGGCAAATAAGTGCCTCCAACAACAGTTAATGCATCTCAAATAAAGGATGTCTTTCCTTGATGTCCTTTCTGCATTTCCCTTTTTCACCTTAGTTTTTGTATGTCTTAGGTGCTTCTACTTGTAGTGGTTCCCATTCCTCCTAGTCCTTACAAGCTTCTTTAATCCAACTAAAGCCAAATGTGACAAAAAGAAGGAGCATACCACATAGGAGTGTTTTTGAGGCTCTTCACTCAACTTGACCAGGATTTATCTTTCTTTTTTTTTTTTTTCCTCTAAAGCATCTTGAACTGTCTACGACACTACAGTTCTGAGCGCACTTGTGATCTCGGACAGACATGGAGTGCCACTTCCCTCTGGGACCTGATCTTCTGTTGGGCAGAGAATACCAGTTTGTGCATACATCCAACCTCTACTCCCGAGGTTATATGTGACCCGTTGGGCACACAGACAAAAGAACTGTATCTCCTTGTGAAGGCTTATCTCAAGAAAGCTCATACTCAATAGCTGAAAGCAGAGACTAGCATCAGAAAGCAAAGCCATCATTGCAGTGATATTTGAGAGCTGCAACAGACTGTACATGATCAAAGAGTAATACAAAGTTATGAAAGAACTTTTCAAAAAAAGAAAGAGCACGCAAAATAGAACACCAGGAAGTGATAAAGTATCAGGACATAAAAGGCAAAGATTGGTTATACCTGGAATTAACAAAAGTTTTCTCTGGATGTTTTCCTTCTGATGTTACATTAGCAGTAAGAAGTGAGTAAGCAGGGATTAGCCCTTCTTTAGCACTGCTCTGTGCAGGAACTTCTCTTGCATCACAGGACAGACAGACACAAATTGACTGAGCTACCATCAGATAGATCTACATTTTCACCGCTTTAGAATCTCTTTAGCTGATAAGGTATTTGCTGCCTCAAGGCTATTAAGTGTAGCTATAAACTGCTCCTCTACTTCTGTTGCCACATCACTAAGAATTATGCAATGGAGTCCATCTAGTATCTAAGTTATCAATTTTCAAAATGAATCATCTATTCTAGTGCAATATAGTTTACTTCAGTACTACTCCTTCCTTTCATGAAAGATGTCTGTCTGTTGCTGGCATCTGGTCCTGATGTGCTTTTGAGAAGCCTGAATAACCCCTGATTACCAGTAGTGACTCAGGGTTTAAAAAAAAAACACAGAAGAAAAGGGGAGAAACTGAGCACAAAATCAAGGAACACTTCCTAGCTCTGATTTTCATATACTGTATAAGGACAATAATATCAGAATGTCAGAAAATGTGTCAAAAATTATTATATTCTACCATGATAGGAACTGTACAAGCCACAAAGAATTCTGCTGATGAGCAGAAGAGCTAAGAGTAAACAAACTCTCCTTGAAAGTTCAGTTCAGATTAAAAAAAATATACATAGTAGCAATCCAACTGTGTTTATTCTCTTCAACTTTTGGTTAAATAACTGTAGGAGCAACAGCTATCACTTGTAGGACACATAGGCTGCTAGCTTGAGACAAATATAACATTAACCTTTCCAGACCCTTTCCTAGGTGCAACATTTATTATCCCCACCAGTGTTCATTAAAAAATTCCTACATTACAACCAATTATCACAAATCTTCTCCAGTTCAAGGATGTTCTTTCTCCCAGCAGCTTTTCTTTAGCCATCCCTACAGACTTCCCGCTAGAAGTCTCCCCTGTGATATTATGGTTCATCTTAAACCTGAGCGGCAAACCAATCCTTGCCTAGGAGAGGCAGACATGTCTCTGTCAACCTCAGACTTTAATTTGAAAATGTAATTTTTCTCTAATCACATACTTGTCTTAAAAACTGAAGAATCCGCCAATTAACCACGACAATGAATTTTCTGTGAAAATGTATCTTCTTTCCCTTTTCCCTGAAACTCCCCCCAACCTATGACTTTTCCATAGCTTGGTAAGTTCTGTTTTACTTAGAAGTCATGCCACCTACTTGTTGGTTTGTCTTTGATGTTGTATGACCATGTTTTTTTCATGGATGGTTTCCAGCAATGCAGTGGCCAGTGATTTGAGATCTGAAATGGACTGTGGTGTGGCTGGTAGGCTACATCCATGATCCTCCGACAACAACTCTTGGACTATAATGTTAAAAACACAAATGAGTTTTGGCTTCTCTATGCACAGAGATGCAACACAAACATTGACTAGTATTAAAGAACTATTCTCATTATTTAAATGAATACATATATTTTTCTTTCAATTAACAAACAAAGTGAAAAAGGCCAGAAATATAATTTCTAGCTGGCATAAAGATGGTGGCTTTCCAAGCTGATTGTTATTTCACAGCAAAAGCCAGAACAAGTATAGGCAGACACATCTTACATTAACTCAGTTCTACTTTTGGAAAATTATTTGTGTTCAGAAGGAAACAAAATCATTCTTTTACAGCCCTACAGATTGGTCCAAACTGGTCATTTCTTTCCTGCTTACATTATAACTGAAGCCCACAAGGAAGCTTTTATATTACTTTTTAGAATTATTATATCCTTCAGGTTATTTAAGAGTGATGTGAAAATACAGTCACCCACGAACTCTTCCTCTGTAGCTTAGAGTCTGTACCTCTCAGCCACATCAGGAAGTTCACAAGTATTGTTAAATTCTGTAACTAGAACCTGGCTCTGTCTCTCTCTCTCTCTCTCTCTATATATGTATGTATGCAAGTACATGGAGAAGAGCACAAAAGAGAAGTCAAAACCAGAAAAATGAGTTTAACCCTACCATGACACTTACCACTGACCTTGTGTGTGTGAATGAATATACCTACATCTAAAAAGGAGGGCACAAGATATAGTTTGGCTCAAAGAATTTTCTCTTCCCCATTTTTCCTAATCTTGGTATTTTCTTTTAAATGGGGAAAAGAGATTACTCCATTTTGCTACCCATGAAGAAACATGGGATACAAAGATTTCTCATAAAACATACGAATGTAAAAGCTTCCAAAAACAGTAGCAGAAAACCTGATTTTAGGCCCCTCAGCCAGTCTATTTTTATTTGGAATGTGAATTGCGACTGCCATTGTTACCAAAGCAAAGAGATGAATAAAGTGATTTCTCAGGGTCAAAGCTGCAGAGGGGGTTAGAGAGTAAAGAAAATATTTGGTAAAACTGATGGGGGAGAGAATGAAGGGCAAAAGAATTAACAAAAGAAGAAGTAGTAATCAAGAGGCAAATTTTATATTGTCAAGTCAATGAAGAGAAGGACAAGAATTAGCACATAATAATAAACAGGGAAAGAGAAGAGAGCTTTTGGTTTGATTGGTGAGGAAAGAGTTACTGAAATTAGGAGGTAAGATGAAAAGAATTCAATGAGATATGCAACATCATGCTGCATTTACGCAATACCTTGCTTTGCAGAAAGGACTCCAGTCAAAGCACTGCTACTGGATCTACTATGAGTCTTTGAATTTTTTCGTCTCTCTAGTGCATTCTAGGGAAACAATAAATATCTTATTTAGAAAAACAGTAGCCAACAAATCCTGTCATTAGGAGAAAAGAGTCTGGAATTTTGGATTTTGGTCTCACAACAATGCTGCAGGGCCTAGAGCTTACACCCATAGAAGCTATAAGCATATGACTCTCCTAGAGAGAATTATTCTTCAGCCAAAACAGTCTCTGCAATGTTACAAAGACTCATTCTGTTTCATTGCAATCATTTTACTGTAATCTCTCCCACCCACTCCCCACAATGTATTTTTAAGACTTGCCTATTTTTTAATAATAGTGACAGTGAACATACTGCAGTATCCTGTAGAGAATATTGGTTGGAAACAAACTCAGACTTTCCCCCACCCTTCTTTGGATAGACTTCAAAGGGAAAGCTCAAACTCCTCTATCAGAGTTTCTAGATGCCCTTTTAGCAGCAAATACTGACTGTCAGGAATTAGAAGCAGAATGATCCTGCTACAGAAGTCCAGCTCTTTCAAATACAGTTCAGTGAAACCCACCAGACCACGAAGGTGCTCAGTTCTCACCAATAAACTGACTCGCACTCCAAGAGACCCAAGTTGTAAGCACGAACAGAGGCTGAAATGAAGTTGGTACTTTGAGGAGCTTTGCTCATGCACAGAAAGCAGTGAGTGCTGCGACTGCTTTACAGTGACCTAAATGAAGAAGTCCTATCGACAATCCTAAGGTTATCCTTCTCTGCTCTGACAAGTAGCCCTCCCCTCCCACTCCCCAAAATCAGAAGAAAATAAGAGGGCTTAGCTTCAGGGAAGAGCAAAACTCAGTCCTGAAGGTTTCATGTAAAACAGCATATACTTTAACCCGGGAATAGAAGAACAATGAAGGCTTAGTGATTATTAAGATACATGAAGAAATAGCACAGCCATTAGGGGACAGGGAGACAAGATTTTCTTGTGACAGCAGCACAGCTGCAGTCATTCACCACACACTGCACGATCTGCTACTTTTCACCTACCAATTGGCTGGAAGGCTGATTACCTGCCCCTGGAAAGAGGAGAGTTCCCCCACAGAACTTAAAAAAAGGTATTTAATTAATTTTTCAAAATGCTGTTAATAGGTATCCCTTTGTACTACCATCAGCTAAGAAGCCTGTGAGGAAGACTGAGCACGTAATACATATACATAATAATATTGTCAGAATGTCAATGGTGGATTTTTCTTGCAAGACACAAATTTGCTCTTTAAATACATACAACATGAAAATGAACAATAACTTCCATGAATCATGGAGCACAGTTTAGATGATACACCGAATCTTACCTTATATTTAGTAATACTAGACTTAAGAAGGTTGACTTCTTCTTGAAGTTGTTTTAATCTCTCTTGAAGGTACCTGAAAAAGAAGTAATCCTTTACTTCATGTTACCTTCAAGTACCGCCTTAAGCAGTCTTCTTTACTACTTGGGATGTCCTCTCTTTGAACTACTGAGAGTTCTTTTCCCTCTGCAGTTCTGTGAGGGATATAATAACAGAATCTTACTGCTCTTGACCCCATAAAACTTTAAGTACAGAAACAAATTGCATCAGAACAGGAGGCTGCCCTCCTGTTAGATTTGTCAAGCATGCTGCACAACTATTTTATATTGGTCCTCAGGTTTCTGGGGAGGAAAGCTAAAAGAATATATTTATGTCTAGAGGAAATAGTCAGGAAGCATTTATGTGTGTCCTCTGTACTTGAAGGCCTGTGAGATGGACACATGAAGATTTGTATATATGTCAACAAAAGACTCAGCTATGCAGAACTTTTGCATTGCAATATCCATCACTTACTTGGCACTTCTCATTGGCAATCACAAAGTAGAAAATTTAACAATATAGTTGAAAAATGGTACACAGTTAAATGAAACAGTACAGTTCTTCCTAATACAGTTTATGCACTTGGATTAGACAGTTATTTCCACATAGGAAAATATATTTTTTATGTATAAAGGATTTATAAAATATTCTCTTTCATGTAGTGCAATTGCAGCTGTGTTAGGGTTAGTGACAATTTAATTATTTTAGAAAAAAAAAATCCTGCCACTTTCAGGGGAGCAGGGGGCTTAAATTCATACAGAATTCCGTAGGCCACACAAAACTGAAAAAACCCCTGAAGCTGCTGGAAGAAGTAATGCCTTTGGTATTAGACTTTCTTACCTGAAGCATAAGTCTTTGCAAATGAAAAGTGTCTTACAAGTTCTATTTCACTTTAAGGTAATTGTTGACATTAAGGGAGGTACCTGCTATGGCTCTGTCAGTGATTTCTCTCTGTCATTCTTAGTGGAGACCATAAAACATATTCTTTTCCCAAGGAAGTGGCAAGAATACGTGGGTGATTTCACCAGCAAATTCTGTTGGCAAATCATACTGACCACCTCTCCCTGTGGTGAAAATTATGTCTGAAAGTATTAACTCAGAGTACTCAAAGTCCTTGTTTTCAATCCAAGACTAGCCCATTACAGCTCACTAGGAGTTTCTCAAGACACAGATTTTTAATATTCTTTCTTTTGGTGCCATACAGTGACGGGAATAAAAAGGTCTGAACATCTCTTCCTTTTCCATGTTTAGCTCTATTTGGGAACATCACTGACATCTCTGTAGCCAAATTCAATATTGGTAACTTTCTGCAGCCTAACTTTCTCAATATTTGCTGCTTAGTTACAGTACAAACAACAATTACCAAAATCTCTTAACTTGTATTCTTGGATAAATTTTCTCTGAAGTTTTGTTGTGACTGACTACCTGATGCTCCTATTACAGCAATGCACTGTATTTTCTAGGGAAATGGTAAGGTTTGCAATGCACTCACCTGTTCTCCATACATAAAGCATCTACGTCGATGATACGGTTTTCATGCCCTCCTAAGACATGATTCAGCTCTTGGTTTAGTCTGTCAGACTTATCTTGGTAAAAAGAACGTTCCTCTTTCACATCATGTAACTCATCCAGTGCAGCCTGAAGATCATATCTCAGAGTCTCAATCTGAGAAGAAAGGAGAGCTGCATCACTCTTTTAAAGCTTAAACAAAAGATTACATAGCACCCAGCCTGAAAACAGCAATAAGCACATGTTTTAACAGGACTGATTTTGGACAGTCAGAAGTCTTTTCAAAGCTCAGGTACTTTCACTCTATTTTGGTAATATTTCATTAATTTAAGTTAAGTAACTTTACCAGTTAGATTTGTTTTACAAAATTTCTAGAAAACAATTAAAATGTAACAGTAAAAGAAACATCAATCCCTACTATAATTCTGCTACAAACATATTAAGATCATCTTAGCATATAATTTCTAGGACTCCAGGAATTAAGTCAACTGAATAAGAATCTGTCAAATTTGGCAAATGAAAAAAAGGTCTGTAAGTGTGAATTTATACTAATATGGGACTTGAGCAATGAAGTTTCACAGAATAGGAAGAAAAACAGAAAAAGTACAAAATAAGCCAGCATGGAGGCAACAGGGTGAGCTCTGCTATCAAGCAGAAGGGTGAAGAAGTCCAGTATGAAAGATACTCAAGGACAAAGAGCTTCAAACTTCCAAGGAGATGAAACTGTGAGTGTGAGAAAAGTCTGCAACGAATTCAGAAGTCTCCATCCACACCTCAGAAAACACGGATAAGCCAGGAAGGACAACAGACCATCATACGGAAAGAGGCCAGGTGATGAACAGACAGAGAATGAGCTTGGGAACAGAGTTAGCAGAGAGGATCAACCTGGAAGAAGCCCAACAGCCTTTCTGGTAAGGCAAAATGGTGCTGCAGTTCAGTGAAGACTGAAAAATCAGAAATATGAACCTTTCCTGGATCACAGAATGGCTCATTCAAGGTGGAACTGATAGGTAGGAATGAGTGTGGGAACAACAGAGAATATAACCCGCCCAAACTGCCCAGAAACTTATGTATCCATATTAGGGAAAGAGTCTGATGAATTGGACGCTGCATGGTACATAGTATTAATACAGACTTGAGGCAGGGAAAGGAGGACTGATGTGAGAATTTTTCCAAAGAGGGGAAGAAATAGCTCAGAGGCAGGAAGAAGATGAGACTAACAACAGTTCTACAGAAAATTTGATTCAGAGACTATCTTTAGGAGATATATCAGCCACTGCATAGTGTGTTGAATACTTGTAACAGCTTTCACTAAGGGGTCCCTTTCACTGACATTAATTGACAATATTCAATTGTCACAAATCGTCGTTGGACATTACTATGAAAAAGGAGAATCAATAATCTAGAGAAGGCATTTCTGAGACTAGGTACTCACTCTAACCGTGTATGCATGTTTAAATTAGTGTTCAATAAGGACTATTTAAGTAAAAATCCCAACACTTTCCCCACTATTTGCAATGTTAATCACCTACCAGCCCTTCAAACACAACAGAAGCCATTTACTTGCTACTGCACTAGCTCTGGAAAACATGACACTATATGCCCATTTAATTATTACCTGTTCTCGAGCCTTCTCCAACTGTTGAACAAGGTCTTCCCGTTCATGTGCTGCGAAGTGACGAGCCCCAACTTCATCATCTCCAAGTCTTTGCTTTGCTATAGTCATTCGAAGGAGCTGCCATGACAAAACCAGGATTTGGTAAGCAAAAGAACACAGGCTGCAGCAGCAGAGTACATCTGTATTAGAAAGAGTAAAGGTGTCCTAGATTTCAGCTCTTCCAGGCCAAAGACTTGATATTAGTTAAACCAGAGGGAATCTTCTGAGCTGAAGGCTCAATCCTGTTCTCAGTGAAAAATTCCAGTTGAATGGTCAAAGCACTGACAGGAATTGAACCAGACCCTGCAACAACAGTCACTAGAGTATACAAATGATGAGAGACCAAGTAAACACAGACACATGGTCAATGTATTTTAGGAGTGACAGGAGCTAATTCCAGTCAGACAAAAACTAGAGAATTACCAGAAAGCCCTTTTCATATGTAAATATTAAAACTGTCTGCAACAGAGAATTCTTCCTATTTAATAAAAGAGCATGAAGTGGCTTGCCCAGCTTCATTTTACTTAAAAACCCCTCTATGCTACATTAGTGCAAAATTTGTATTAACAGCTGCTAAGACGTTTGCTTATGCATTAGTTTTTTAATCTACTCACAAAAGTTAATTCATGTCGAAAACAAAAAATGGGACAACAAAAGGACTCAGCCAAAATGCTCAAACAGCTAATGAACTCATGAGCTTTGTGACTGCTGAAAACAGCCTAATTTGAATTACTACACATTTATGTTCAATATCCAAAGCAAAAAGCAACGACCTTTCAAAACCCATGAAGTATTAAATACCAATCTATAAGGCATTCAGCATTTACAGTTGTTTATACTGAGTACATCTAGGCAAAAGTATTGCCTCCCCATGGCCTCATTTGTAGGAGCTCCACAGAGACTAGAGAAACCCACTACAATAACCAGTAGACTTTCCCTATATCTTTGACTGCACCAAGGAATTAATGTACATCATTGTATTGCAGAAATAGAAAAAAATCAATTTTCTGAAGTAGAAGATTGTACATTAAAATCTGTCTTTGGTATTTATGGGATGCCAGTCACCATAGCTGCAATGTGCCAGTTAAAATCCTGCTGATGCAAGACAGACTACCAAAATCATCCTCCTCACTTATTTCAGCTCCAGTTCAGCACAAGTCACTGAAGACAGTACAACATGTTCTGATAAGCAGTTCACTTGTTCAGGGGAAGCTATGGCCACAAAAGTAACTTGTTTTGGCAAACTACATTTCCCTATCCCCACAGGGAAAATACAAACCAAACCACTGCACAGTTAGTAAGGCTGAATGGATCCTAGGAGATATAACTCCTACTAATTTCTTTATGAAATCAAATAAGTCAAAAAGGCAACTAGCAAATCCTGGAATGGCTTCATAGCTACTGGATTAGTTTTTTTAAATGCTAAAAGCCTAATGAACAAAAGGTGTGGTAACATGATCTAATTCAGCTACAATAATTTAATTTCTAGAATCTCTCACTAGTGAGAAAGGCCACAAGAAAAAAAATGTAATAACATTTTGAGGTCTCAATCTTGTCCAGAAAAACTGGAAATAGGAAGGGGAATAACACTTTACTAATGCCTCCAGTGCCTGCAGCAGAACAAAACTTCTGTGTAATGCTCGACACCAGGCTGGGAACTGGATCAGAGCTGTCACTCATGCACTGTGACCAACTTTTCTCCAGCCCAGGAGTGGGTGAGGCATGAGATGCAATTATAACTGCAAGCAACTATAACTTGCAAGGTCAAACAGTCTGCCAATAAAAGGAGAACTCTTTATTTACTACTAATTTTGAGGGGGGAAAAAAAAAAAGAAAGAAAAAGAGCATGAAGTCTTATGAAAAGAACGCTTTCCAAATTCAGCCAGTAAAAGCCGCATCATTAACATACATAAAATAAAGTAAAATACCAATCCATAAAACAACAGAGTGCTTCTTGCAGACAGTTGGCCAATCAGAGAGTTGACAGGGCAGAACAGGCCAAGTCGTTTAATTCTGCATTGCGAATGTCTCATGAGGCAGCACCACCTGCTATAAAATTTTTCCCTGAAAACGCTGTGACCCAAAGAGACACTGTTATGCCAGAGGTTTAAGGGTTTATTTCATATTAGTGCTCTGTTATAAACTTTATACACTTGCCCTCTGGCTGCTGTATTTTTATTTCTGTCATTCAGAAATCACTGAGGAAAGGAACGCTCAACTTCATTTTGCACCTAGAGAATAGGTGAACACTACCTCTCAGGATTCTGTGAACAGCATTTACAGCTGAGTGGATTTAAATTAATGGCACCTTACCAGAGAGACCTCCTGTTTGTCAAGAACCCATAGATTGTTAATCAAAACAATCCAGTGCTGCAAGCCACTAGTCTTTTTATTTTAATATAACAGCTTTTTCTTAATAATTTTCAGCTAAACAAGCTTCACTGGGATAGCTGCTGTGCAGTCCAGGAGTCCACAGACAATGCCTGCGCTGAAGTTGGACACTCCTGATTATCAATAAAACATGCAGAAGGAAGAGGGAAACAAGCAAAACCACTAAATTCTTTGTGGAAGGCAGAAACTACCATGTTTAGCCACAGTCACTGACAGCAATTGTCTTCACCACGTTGACTACAAAATCTTAAAAAGTGGACCAAAACTATGCAAATGTGCTACCTTAAGTCCCAGTTCTGCCAAAGCACACACGCCACATTTAACATTTCCCACTGTTGCTGCATGAATGATTGTCTGCCTGGCAATAAGGAACTGGCAGTAACACCGCAGCCATTGTTTCCTGTGCACCTTCCTCTTGCTTAGCGCTGCTCTCAGCAGCTTACAAAAGCCATTCTTTGCGTAGGTAGGAATTCAAGGAAGGCAACTGAGTCATCTAGTCTTGCAGAAGTCTCCACTTTCTCCTGAGCTTTCCATTTTTTCCCTTTTACAAGAGAGAATTAGATTTCCTAACTATCTCCTTCTAACGTTTTAGTAATTGTTTTCAAGCATTGCTGCCAAGACATTAGGAAGGAAAAAGATTTACAAATAACTATCACAAACATAGAAGAGTTTTCATGTGTCACAGCTAGTGAGATTGTGATCAATCATAAAAATAAACACTTAGATATCTGTTGCTGGAGCGCTGCAGTCTAACTATTGCTGTATTTTTCAAACTGCAGCAACAAATCCCCCCAGGGACTGTCTGAAGAAGTTCTATTATTTGTGCCAACAAAATTTTAGTTAAATTAGAGGAAAAAATTAGTCCAGTTAAACCAAATGCCAGCAATTCATTATTGCCTAACTGATGATGTACTTAACATGATTTCAACAAGTAAAATGTCTCTGGTTTAAGGTCTCCTTCTAATCCAAGTGACTGCACCCTACTCGTAGCAAAAATTAAAGCGGTGAAAAACAAGTCAAGCCATGAAAACATTTCCTTATCAACAGAGCTGATGTGTGATATTTAAAGAGGGTTTTTTTCTTTTTTAGTCCTGCAAAGCTGTTGCCACTCAGTGACAAAGCCTGCATGAGTCACCTCTGCTCAGACACAGGCAGAATTGTTCATCCATAAGCAGCTTCACTTGCTGCAAAAGCAGCTGTTTGTTCATCTCTTGCCAGAAGTAAGGCTGACGTAGACCAGCTGGGCAGGATGCCCTCCCTCACTTTGGAAAAAGCAGTGAGAAGGATGCAGGGGAAAAATGTAAGAACAAACAAATTATTATAGTGCTTTGTTTTTGTATATACCATACATTATCTGGACTCCAGTGCCTGAAGTAGCCCAGCTGCCAGTACAGGAGAACTGATGAGCAGAACGGAATGGCTTCGGGAACAAGACTAGAATTTTATCACTGAAGCTCGTAGAGAGAGAAATCTGACACAGGAGGAGAGTGTTAAATCCCTCAGAGAGATGGCAATGCTTTTTTAGGCATTTTGAAAAACAGCAACCTGACTCTAAAATAAACTCTATTTCTCATTTACTAGGAAAGTGAATAATGTGTTCCAAAAATGAAAATCCTAGTCTAAATTAATCCGTGTCTGATGCAGCTCTTTCCTCTGACACTTTATTTAGCGATGCACTGTTTTGCACCTTTCGGAGAGGGGCACACTGGGCAGAATAAGTCTTTTTGTACTTTTCCATTTGTTTTGAGGATAATGAATATAAATTCATGCTGAGAATACCAGCATGATCAGCTAATACCAAGTTAACCCACAAAGGTGAACATAAACAGCACCAGTTCAAGTACAAAGAAGTAGGCTCTATGTTACCAAGATCATATTGTCCCATAATGAATTAGAATTGGTACATAACCTTGATATTTAAATATATTGTAGTTTTACTACCTTTGTGTTCTGTTTGCACCTACAAACCCTTGTATCTATTCAGGACTGGCTTAGGAAAGGCTATATGGCATACTTTTGGTACTGTGGAATTGCATGGCACTGACTTCTACACCATAATACAGTTCAAACAGTAAAATGCAAATGAAAATAAACACTGGGAAATCTGGTCTTTGAAGACTTGAGCAAGTTATGCTGAATGCTATGCACGCTACAAATTCAGGTCTTGCTTGACCCTTTCCCAGCTCCCTGAACACATTCAGGGGAGTTCTTTGTGAAAAACAATGAATAAAACTACATAATCACAATATATTATGTTTAAAAGAAAATAACTAAACTCAAATGGAAAGAACCCCCTCCATCTGACTAATTAAAAGTCACACCATTTTTATTTGCATTTTAAAATCCTATGATTTTAAAAGTGTAGTTGAGGGAGAGAAGTTATAATTAATTATTTGTTTCAATTTTTTACTTTGTTAAACACCTCGACTCTCCAATTCAACCTCTCACTAGTTTGATCTCTGAATGTACTTTTGCATTAAGCTCCAGCTGTGAATGTTACACACATTTGGCTTGAGTTTAAATATTTCAATTAATGGAGACAACAGGAGCTTGATTAATACCAAATGGCAGATTTTGAGCAATGTTCCATATAACTTGCTAAATATAGCAATGAAATAAATTGGTTATGTAAGGATAATGGGATGAGGGCTTAATACAAAGCTCAATATATATGTTTGTGATCAACTCCTCCATATTTTTTAAGGGAAAAATTATGGCTGCTCTGGTTTTATCATCTACTAAAATTTTGCATTTACAGTGCAAAAAATTAAAAATTATCGCATGATGAAGAAGACATGCTTATCTGTACTTATCTGTAAGAGGAAATATCACTAATAAAATATATTTTAAAAAATAGAAATGGAAAAAGAAAGTCTGAGAGCATTAAAGCAAGGCTAGGTACAAAATACATAGCTAAGGACAACTGAGCAAAAGCAGCATACAAAAACATATAATAAGCTGCACTTACTGGTATCCCATACAAGCTTCTTCTGTTCTACTGTTCTAAGCATTTATTGTAATTAAAGTAGAAGTTCTGTAGTCCATTGTTTCATTTGTTTTCCTAAGAAGTAAATGCAAAATTCCAGCCCAGTTTACACATTCCATGCCATTTACTAGTAAAAAAAAGTTTGTAATACCTTATTGTCCCCTTGTACTTCTCCCAGTCTCTGCTGAAGCTCTCTAATCTCTTCTCCAAGGTGTTTATTTCGATCTTGAGCCTCACTCAGTAGTTGAGCAAGATTTGCCTAGAAAAGGAGTAAATATCAATCATAAGTCAGAAGTGTAAGTGGTGATTGAAAAGAAACCCCAGAATTAATTCTTAACTGCCAACAGTCTTTATTTTTATTGTTGTTGGTACCCAGACTTCATGCTTCATCAGAGAGAAAACAACAAAAGTCACCTGGGTTCCTTTATCTTTAATAGAAAATACAAACAGTATGTGGGGATACAGACTCCCAGCACAGCACACAAACCCCAAACAAGACAAAGCAAAAACATCTATGCTAGTTCCAGTATCTTGGCTGGTGGGAAGAACAGAATGCAGAGTTACTTAGACAATATTTATACAAAGCTGCCAAAATAATAGTTTTAACTTGCATATAATTAGACAAAAGGCACAGCTGAGAAATAACTATGATACAATTAAATTCCTTACGTGTTTAGAGAAGATTTCTAGCCAGTTAAGAGGATGTCAGCTGAAGTCCCTGCCCCTGTACCATGGATATCTAGTAGCACAAAACTTCAAATGTAACCTGATTTGTGTTGTTAGCTAGCACAGATTCTTGAAAAATACAAGTGAAAGCTAGAACGTAAAAACGAACACCACCACCAGCATTCCCCAAATAATCAGGTCAAAAGTTATCATTCACATTAACCTACTAAGTTAGCAGGGCAAGCAGTCTGGTCTATAATTTAACAATTAAATTCCATCAGCTTGATCTCTACCAAAAAATAAATGCAATCTCTTCCTTTCCTATTTATGATATCTGAAAATGAGCAAATACTACAGATAAATTTATTGTATTTTATCCTAACAATGTCTCACAAATACACAAGCATTGGCTCAAGACAGGAAAAACCTGCTGACAACATGTCATCATCAGAGACTTCTAATCATAGTGGCTAAGGTGCAGCCTTTCAAGACATTGCCTATGGACAGCTCTGTGTGTCATGCATTGCCATAAATCTCAAAAGTATAAAAAGAAATTAAAAAAGAATTTCTAGGTCTTCTAAGCGTGACTTGGTAAAGTCTCATCAGTCAGTATCTCTGAGCTACCCTTCCATGTACTCCCTGGATTTGAGGCCGGTGCATCAACTGGCTGTTCCTAGCTCTTTCATGGTATTTTAGATTCAGTTTTAGATTCCCTACTTCCCACTTGCTGTGCTTCTCTTCCAACTCCCCCATTTCTCTGTTCTGATAACTCGCTCTTTTTCAGTCTTGCTCTTTTACCCAGTCATTCTCACTACCGCTTGACAGTCTCCTGGGATGTTTTTGTGAGCTTTATCTTTACAACTCATACACTATCAAACCAACAAGGTATCTAATAGCCATTACTGCAATCTGCCCCCTTGTCTACTAACAACTGTTATTTCCACGTCTTGCTTTATATTTAAGAGAAATATTAGGATGAATCTATTAAGATGGATATTGACATGAACATAGCCATGCATGCATCTGACCATTTGCAGGATTAGACTATTAAACTATAATCAACTGCAATTTTTGTACACTACTATATGAAGAAGCCAACTCCACATTCCAGTTGGTCTCAATTAGCAATAGCTTCAAACTTTTAAATAGGAAAAATAACTTGAGAAACTGACACATCCTATTGATGAACAACAAGGCTGTACTTCCAATTCTGTACTTCCAATACTTTGAGACCAAAAGTTCAGAAGAAAGCAAGGTAAATCTCCCACAGTTTAAAGCATTTTTAAAACTACTGACAAATGTGAAGACTGTAAATAAATAATTTGGAAAAAGAGTGTAATGGCAATGCCCCTCCCCCATAAATAGTCAACTACAGGACAAAAACTAAGCTGCCTCTAATTTTATTTTCAAGACAACAACCATTCAAGCAATGCAAAAGGTTTCTCAAGTATGCTTTAGTGGAATGATTTTTTTTCTGTACATGATAAACAAATGTGTAATAGCCATTTACACAATGAATGAATAAAGGATCTTCAGAACGCATTCAATCAATGGTTTTAGAAGTACTTCTTAAAGGCTCTCTAAAAGAAAGAAGACAAAGAACCCATGTTTGCACAAAATTGTATTTAAACTGAAGTATCTATGGCTACTGCTTAGATGCAATTTTTTAGGTTTTTTTTTAAGGAAGCTAACTTTCAATAAAGCCTGAGTTAGTTAAAAGGAACATGATTTGCACAAACTTCTCTGAAACACTTCTATTTATAAAGTCCCTTTTTATGATGAATTGGAACAACTCCTAACACTGCAATAGCACATGTAATTTCAACACCTGGAAAGAACTCAATCTCACTAATCAGTGTTTACAACCACAACACCAGGATTTTAGCATCTGTAGTCAAAACCTGGCTCCCAGTAACTGCAGGAAAGGCATTACCATGCCTATACTAAATCTTCCTGCTCTGATTTATTTCCTTTAAAATCATTTCTCTGGGATTGCAATTCTATGCTGAATTTTATTTGTCAGTCATATAAATGACTTAACATGACAAAAACCTTTATACTTGAGACAGAGATTTTGGAAGAAACTTTAAATGAAGAATTTTAGACACCAAAATAAACCAGCCTTGTTTAAGCATGCCAAGAGCATTACAATGAGCTAAGTATAGACTGGCTCCTTACTGCAAGGCTTGTATTATACTTCAGTTGAACTAAAACAACCAAGCTATGTCACAGAAGTAGTCTCCAGCAATTACTCATTTCTCTGGCTTAGAGGTTCCATACAATGTATAATTTAGACTGTTCTGAGTTTTAAAGGTTTTGGCAAGACCTCATTAAAGCTCTCGGTGAGATGTGGATAGAAGGAGAAATATTTGATTTTTCAAAAGTGCTCTACTGGGCTTAAAGAGAGCCAGCCAAGAGGATATGTTCAACAACACCTGGACTTGGTACCATTTCTTTGGCATATATAAGAAAACATACCATATGGTTGAAAGATGATAAAACTAACAATGGAGGACCGGCTTCGCGAACCTGCAACTATTTATTTTTTGAGGAAAGGGGAGAAATCTATGCAAGGACAAAGGCAATTCATTTTTCCACTTGGCAACTTCTTTTCAATATTCATAGAACAAACACAGAATTCACTTAGAAATTCAAGACAAGTTACTTCAGCAGACAATAAAGCTCATATCATTTACCTGTGCAACAGACAACAACTCCCTGAAAATTAGCCAAATTCAGCTTCTCTAGACTCAATTTCTTCAACAGTTTATTTTGATTTAAGGTGAAGCCTTAAAAAAACCTCCTGAAACTGTCAAAGACTTTACTTCTTTCACTCACACTATGTAAAACTAACTCTAAAGTAGTGATGAAGAGAGGTTTCTGAGCCCTGGGTAAAAACAGGGAAAATCCCAGACATGAACACCTTTCTGCTAGCTCATCTTGTCTTCCCTCTGCAACAATCTGCAGCAGTGGAAACTGTTTCTCCTACCCTCTATCAATGCAACTGTTTCAAACACTACACATTGCTTCATTCATGTCTCTGATGAACTATCCTGTATCAGACAATCTTCCAGAGCTCTATCCACATTCAATTACTCTGGAGCCTCTGCAGCATGACAAGATTTTGTTTTACATCCACCCGTCATGGGAAGGTTGTATATATCATAGGCTCATAGAACAGTTGGAAGGTACCCCTAATGATCATCAAGTCCAACTTCCTCCACCTCACAGGACTACCTAAAACTAAGCTATATGACTAAGAGTGTTGTCCAGATGCCCCCTGAGCTCTTCCAGGCTGGGTTCCATGGTCACTTCTCTGGGGAGCCTCTTCAAGTGCATGACCACCCTCCCAGTGAACCACGATTTGAGCACAGTCCAAACCTCCACTGCACTGCTAGACATAGGAAACTGTTCCCATACTCCTTTTTCTTCTGACCAAAAGCAAGTGCAACCATAGCCAACAATCCCACCAGAACTTAGGAAGAAAGGAGAAAAAGATTGATGTGAGAATGCTGAGTGGGAAGTGCCTACTTTTATTACATAGGGGGAAAAGCACCACAGATCAGAACAGACCACAGAGGGAAAGATTCAGTAGGATGGGATCTAGACCACATCCTTTTCCACTCAGACTTTATTAAAATTTCCAAGAACATTTTTTGGCATAGAAAGAGGACCTTACATTTTGCTACAGATGAGCATCCAAAACTACTGACCAAAAAAATATATAAATATTTATTACCATAAGCCAGTGAATACCTGTCAGGCAGCAACAGATCTTTGCTCACTACTGACCAATGACTCAAGAAGAAGGAGGGAAAAAAAAGTAACTCCAAATAGTCATTGCTAGCATTATGCACTACACTTGAATTTGGCTCCTTTAACAATTTTGCAAATATAGCTATACATACACACTGTTATTTTTCTTCACCACTTTAAGAATGATGGATAGTAACAGTCTTTAATATAGCTCTCAATTCTCTTGCACATAAATCTTATCCGACATTTAAAAAAAAAAAAAAAAAAAGGACGTTTTGCCTTTAGGGTACTGCCTGAAAAAGCAATTTGGCAAGGGGTAAGGAAGAGGGGGAATCTTCCAACCTTTACAGTTTAAAAGTATTTTTAAATATAAACAAGCATTCCTATACTGCAGTTTACAGTCTTCTCTGTTTGTTTCAGCCACACCTCCAAACAAAGAAGAACACTGAATTACAGGGCTGACAGAAAAAAAAGTTTGATGAAACATTAAGCACACCTGATGGGTGTTGCTTATTGCAAATTTAAGTGCAGCTTCTCCTCCAATGCATTCATATGATTGCAATGGCTGAATTAACACAGAAAAGCTTGCTTTGCTTACCAACTACAACTGTTCACTCCAAGACAGAAGAACTGATGACATGCCCTAGCACTAGCTTCCTTGCAATAAAATCCCAAAATTGTTGTATTTTTCTCTTTAAGTTGAAAAACCACGTAAAGAAGACTTTTGAAATTACAGGTCCTGGGCATACAAAACAAAACACACTTGATATGGTTCATATTTTCCCACCAAAAAACAACAGCAAAACATCAAAGCTTTGCCAAGCAGTCATTCCTCTG